CTTTATTATTTTTATAGCGTTAGAAAGCGTAAAGCGAGCTTTATAATTTAAGAAATTATAAAGTAACTATATATATCGCAAGCTAAGTACTTTAAAGTATAAAACTTCTATATATAAATTTTTAATAAGAAAACGCGAGAGAACTATCGAGCTAATTTAGTCGATCTAATTAAAGAGCGTAGCGAACTCGAATTAATAATTAACTACATATATAAATTTAAGATTTTCAAGCTTAGTTCTATCTTATTCTATTATATATACTAATATTTTAAGCTAGCTAATACCTCTATCGAGAATTCTATTAAAGTTATTTTAGATTATAAGAACTTATAGTATTTTATATTTTTTAAATAATTTAATTTTTATTAAATAAGATAGACGAAGTTTCTTTCTAAATTTAATTTCTATATTATTTATCGCTTAAAAAAATAAAGTATTAAATCTAATAGTTTTATTCGATAAGTAAGAGATCTATCTAAAAACGAGAATAATAATTATACTCGTTATCGATATTATATAATTCTTAAAAATAATAATCTTAACGAAGATATTAAGAATATTATATATCTTATTACTATACTTTTAGATAATATAAGAGAAAATATTATCTCTCTAATTATAATATTATATAAATTTAATAAATAAGATAATATTAATAATAAGAAGTCTAATAAAGAATTATTATTAGAGATCTCGATAGAGACTTTTTAAGAGGAGTCTATAGAAGAATCGAGAGAAGTCTCTACTATTAATACTTCTAAATTATTATATTAAATAAAAAACGCTTATAATTATAATAATATTATTTAAGAAATTATATAATTAAAGATATCTAGATAGAGAAAGCTACTACTTAAAATAATTAAGAATAATTTCAAGCTAGAATTAAGTAATTATTATCTTTATAATAGATTATTATATATTAATAATAGATTATATATATTAGATATTCTTAAATTATAAATTAAAATTATTAGAGATATTTATAACTCTTTATTTAAAGACTATATTAATAGATTATTAATTTATAATAAATTAAATAAATACTACTATTAACTAAGAATAATGGATTTCATTATCTACTATATTAAGAGCTATTATATTTATAAGAGATCTAAAACTTATAAAGAGGGCAAATAAGATCTTCTTAAATTCCTTCTTATTCTTAAATAATACTAATAAGATATTTCTATTAACTTTATTATATTATTATCTATCTATCTTAGATATAGATATTTCTATTAATATATTATAATAATTATAAATAGACTTAATAAAAAGAAGAAATTCGTTTTTTTAAACTTTTTAGAAGTGAAGATAGTAGTTTAAGTCTTTATCGAATTTATATAGCGAGAGAAAGAATATCTATTTACTATTATCTCGAACTAAGATATTTAATTTACGATATATTTCTAGAGAAGACTATATAAAAGAATTAAAACTAAATCTAAACTTTCTACTATATTTCACCTTAAAACTAATAAATAAATAGAGAACGCTAACGCTACTTTAAAGTAATATCTTAGAATTTATATTAATTATAACTAAGATAATTAAATAAATCTATTATTAATAATAGAGTTCGAAGCTAACTTCGATAAGAACATCTTATTAAGCGTATTATTATTTCTTTTTATTAAAGAATATATTTCTTACTCGAGAATAGAATTCCTTATCTTTTAAGATTAATTCGCTAATTAAAAAGTAAAAAGAGATATTAAATTAGCTAATAAATTTATCGAGAAGATAAATATTATAAGAAATTATCTAAAAAATTAGCTTAAATAATTATAAGCTTTATAAAAGAAGTAAGCTAATTATTATTAACTCTCGATACTAGAATTTAAAGTTAGAGATATAATTATATTTAATAAAAAAAATATTAAAATTATACGTCTTAATAAATTATTAGATTATAAGAATTTCGAATTATTTAAAATTATTAAAGCTTTAAATAACTTCGCTTACGTATTAAAAGTCTCGACTTCTATAAATAATATTTACTTTATCTTTTATTTATAACTATTATATCTTAATAATAGCGACTTACTATTAGAATAAATCGAGCTTTCATCGCCTTCTATCGATATTAATAAAGAAAATAAAATTTATAATATTAAAGAAATAGTTTAATTTAAACTAAATAAATAAAAAAATGATTTCTTAACTAGTAAGAGAGAATATCTAATATATAAAATTAGATATAGAGGCCTTGAGATAGAGAAAAATCTATTCTAATAATTATTTACGAATATAATAAAATATTTAAATCTAATAGTAGACTTTCATTATTATTATCTCGAGATTATTAGCTTTTATTTATTATTTAAAAAACCTTTAAAATAATTTTCTTTATTAGCGCTATTAATCTATAGTAACTATATTAACTTATAAAAAGATCTCGATATCGTAATAAAATACTAAGTTAATATATTTAAGAATATTACTTCGTATATATCTAGATATACTTCTTATGAGATCGATATCTACTATATAGTAGTTATCGCTAAGACTTTAAAATTAAAGAGAGAGATAATGTTACGATTTTAATAATCTTACGATCTTACTTACTTATATTATAACTTAATTAGACTTAGCGTGCTAAGACCTTTTAATCTTTCTATCTTACTATAAAGCTTATACTTATAATAATTCTATATAGATAGTATTCTCTTTATACTATAATATAGAGTTATTATATATATTATTAAGTCTCTAATACTTAGTCTATATAACTCTATCTCATTTAAGCTTCTTCTAAGCTAAATCTCTCTTCTATCTTTTAATCTTATTAAGTATAATCTTATATTTCTTTATCTTCTCTTCTCTTATAATTATTCTTTTAATTATAAAAACGATTATCTCGCTAAGCTTCGCGTCGATTAATAAAGTTTCTAAGATTAGAGTTTTAGGGGCTAAAGTTATTAGAGTATTAACTACTAATATAAAAATAGATATAGCGATTACTTCTTTATCTACTTCGAAATCTTCTTAAAATAATATAACGTCTCTTTTATAATTAAGTATAGTTATTATATTATCCTTCTTCTTTAACTATATTATTTATCTTTTAAAATCTATTTCTAACTCTTATTAACGATTTTCGCCTTTTAATTTATAGATAGTAATCTCTTTTATTTATTAATTAATAGTAATAGTCTAATTATTCTTTATCTTGCTATTTTCTATAATTTCTTAATTCTTCTTTTATTTATATCTCTTCTTAATAAGATTATATATCTTTTACGAGATATTTTTAAATAGATATTCTCTTCTAACTATAATCTAAAAGTCGATATTAACGATATTCTAAAAATTCTATACTCCGTCTTTAATATTATAGCTATTTTTTCTATTAATATATTTATTAACTAATATTATATATTCTTTCTCTATAAGATTTAAGTTTTTAAATATCGCTTTTCTCTTCTTTAGCTAACTACTTTCTATTAACTCTTATACTTTTAAAGATATATATAAGAATTCTTTTCGCTTACGTAACTATAATAAGAGAGATATTTTATATACGCGTATATCTGCAAATCTGAAAAGTTCCTTTCCGCACGATTTCCGCCGAGTTCGCACTATAAGTACGATTTAGTCTATTTAGTAGACTTTATCTATATCTAACTCTTTTCGTTAGTTCTATTAGTTTAGTAACTTTAAAAATTTTTAGCAACTTTAAAATTTTTATATAATATATTCTAATATACTCTAATAAATATTATAATTCTATATATATATAATATTAATATATATTATTATTAATATACGTATTATTATACGCTATATTAAAGTATTATCTACGTAATTAATTTTATTAAATTATTTAATTTCGTAGTCAAATTTAAGTTAGCGTTAATACTCGTCGTTATAAAATCTTATCATCACAACGTCGATTATTAAAACTTTTCTTTTTTTATACGTATTACTATTAAACTAATAGAACTAATAAAAAAGATTAGAATAGTTATTAAATCGGCGGAATTTAGATAGATTCTAATTAGATTTACTAATTTAACGAATTTTATAATTTCCGCGATATACGCGCGATTAGCAATTTCAAATTTTATAGAAACTTTTTAGATTTATAGATATATAGTAATATTAATAAAGTAATCGTTTAATAGAGAGTATATAAAATTATTATCGTCGTAGTTAGAAGGCTTTTTAAATCTCGATAAAGATATATTATAGTAATTATTTTAATTAGAAGAAGAAAACTCTTATAAATTATAGATATATTAATATTCTTATAAAGAAGAAATAGATAAGAGAGTAATACTTTTTAGAAGTTGAGAATTTAATTATTAACTCTCTTAATAATAAGACGATTAAGATCGCTAATACTCTAAGAAGTACGACGATTAAAGCTATTAATAGATCTATATCGAATTAATATAGTTAATAAATCTTTAAGCTATTTAATAGACTTCTTAAGAGGCGATAAGAGAATATAAGAAGAAGATTAAATAGCTATATATTTATTACTTATATTATAACTATATTAACTTTTTTCTAACTTTTTTAACTAAGCTTATATTCTAGTTTTATAACTACGCTAACTACTATATAGAGATTTCTATTAATTAAAAGTCTTTAATATAATCTTTATATACGTTTTAAAGACTTTAAAACGTATATAAAGCTATAGTCAAGTATATAGTATAAGGTATAAAGATTACTTAATATGGCTACGGTGGAGTTGAAAACTAGCCTTATGTAGTTAAAATATCGTCTTCAAAATCTTTGCTGACCCTATCTAAAGCAAGCTTTCCAATTAGAAAGACAGAAATGGATTTCGGGCTTCGGATCCACGCTAACCTACCACCTACGGAGGTAACTCCGGCACTAGATCGTTAAATCCGAACCGGAAGAATCAAGGAAGCAAACAACCGTTGCACAAGAACATTGGAACCCAATGGGCACTGCTACTGCTCTACATGAGTTTCCAAAACAAACATACAAAGAATGATAGGAAAACAACGGGTACCAACAATATGACGCGTGCAGCAGAACTTGCCAGCAGCCGAGAAGGCCTCCTTGACCATGAAGCTGCCAGGCCTTATCGCCGTTCACTTGGTAGCGACCGTTCCTCATCCGAGCTGGATCTTGACGAGCTACCACCGCCGCGGTCAAGAGGTGGATGGTCACCATCACCATCAAGAGGAAAGAAAAGCAATAAGGAAAAGGAAAAGGGATACCCGGGACTGCCCAAGGCAAAGAGGAAGGGAGGATTGCTCCGGAAGACAACATGTCTGCTGATCATGTCGATACTGTTAGGGGGGCTGCTAGGTCTGATAGCAATGGCGATATGGGTATGGAGAAAAGCCATCCCGCTAGATGGGCAGTCACCGCCCTGGTACCCGTCGCCAAAGGGGGGGACCCTAGCACCTTGGGAGGAAAGTTACAAGAAAGCGGCTGCTATGGTCAGCAAGATGTCACTACCCGAGAAGGTGAATATCACGACAGGGACTGGCTGGTCACAGGACTTGTGTGTTGGCAATACTGCACCTGCGAACGGCGTGGGCTTCCCTCCGCTTTGTCTACAAGACGGACCCCTCGGTATCCGTCTCGCAGACCACGCCACTGCTTGGCCAGCCGGTATCACCGTCGGAGCCACATGGAACAAAGACTTGATCTACAAAAGAGGAAGAGCGCTAGGTCTTGAGCATCGGCTAAAAGGCGTGAATGTGTTGCTGGGGCCCTCGATGGGACCACTAGGACGAATGCCCGCTGGCGGGAGAAATTGGGAAGGCTTTGGTTCGGACCCCGTGCTGCAAGGCATTGCGTCTGCCCAGACTATCAAGGGTATCCAAGATGAAGGAGTAATGGCCACGGCAAAACACTACGTCGCGAACGAGCAGGAGCATTTCCGACAGGCTAACGAGTGGTTGACGCCGCACGCCATATCCTCCAACATTGATGACCGAGCTTTGCACGAAGTATACTTGTGGCCCTTTGCCGACAGCATTAGAGTTGGTGTTGCAAGCGTAATGTGCAGCTACAATATGGTCAACAATTCTTATGCTTGTGGGAACAGCAAGCTGTTGAACGGCATACTAAAGGATGAACTGGGCTTCCAAGGGTTCGTGCAGTCCGATTGGTTAGCTCAACGAAGCGGAGTAGCCAGTGCCTTAGCCGGTCTTGATATGACGATGCCTGGAGATGGTCTCTATTGGATGGACGGAGATTCTTTATTTGGTCCCCACCTCACTCGATCGGTTCTCAACGGCTCTTTGCCCGTTGAGAGGTTGGATGACATGGCTACACGTGTTGTGGCTGCCTGGTATCAACTCGGCCAAGACGACAAGGCCCGCTGGCCGAATCTTCCTCCTGAAGGTGATGGTAGACCAAACTTCTCATCTTGGACAAATGACAAGGTCGGAAAGATCCACCCTGGTAGCGATGATCCCACGACAGCGGTGGTCAATCAATTCATCGATGTTCAGGGGCAAGGCAAGGACTTTCACGGGCGTCTGGCTCAACAAGTCGCCGCCGAGGGCACTATCCTCGTCAAGAATGAGAACAACGTCTTGCCACTAGATCCTAAAGGCTGGACTGACCAGTATCAGCCCCACGGTACTGGTAAGTACAAGGTCGGAGTCTTCGGCGAAGACGCAGGATCTAATCCAAATGGGCCTAATGATTGTCCCGACCGGGCCTGTAATGTCGGTACTCTAGCTTCGGGGTGGGGCAGCGGTGCCGTGGAATTCCCATATCTAGTTCCACCAATCGAAGCATTGGAATCCACCTTCGACCTTGGCTCTGTTGATATTACGGCGACATTGACAAATGACCTGCCCAAGAATTGGCACTCCGGTCAAGACCTTTGTTTAGTGTTTATCAATTCAGATGCAGGTGAAGGCTACATCCAATGGAACGGGATCACGGACAGAAATGACCTGTACCCTCAAAAAGGTGGAGATGAACTTGTCAAGAAGGTCGCCACAGAGTGCTTGCAAACGGTTGTGGTTGTCCATGCCGTCGGCCCTGTCGTTCTCGAACGTTGGATCGATCTTCCCAATGTCAAAGCTGTCATCCTTGCCAATCTTCCCGGCGAAGAAAGCGGTAACGCCATTGCCGACGTTCTGTTTGGCCGAGTGGACGCGAGTGGACGACTACCCTACACTGTGGGTAAATCCATGTCCGAGTACGGCCCTGGCGGACAGGTCATGTACAAACCCAATGGTCTCGCACCTCAGCAAGACTTTAAAGAAGGCCTGCTCATTGACTACCGACATTTCGACAAACAGTCCATCACCCCACGCTACGAATTCGGCTTCGGCCTCTCATACACTACTTTTACATTCTCAAACCTCGCTCTCACAACGCTGAAACCCAAATCGCCCTTCCCTTCGCCGCGCCCTGAGGGAACAATTCTACCTCCCACATATTCAACCGACATCCCTGACCCATCATCTGCACTGTTCCCAAAAATCTTCTGGAAGCTGCACAAACGCATATACCCCTACATTGACTCTACTAAAGAAATCAAAACCGGCTCTTACCCCTATCCGACTGGTTACAACGACCAGCAAGTCCCGTCTCCCGCTGGCGGTGGCGAAGGCGGTAATCCTTCCCTTTATGAAGAACATATCTTAGTCTCGATCGACTTGAAGAACACGGGCCCCCGCACGGGAAAGCAAGTCGTGCAGGTCTACGTCTCGTTCCCTGAAGATGTGATCGACTCTAGCACGGGAAGCAAAATCGAGTTTCCCGTGAGAGTACTCAGGGGCTTTGAGAAAGTGGAGCTCGCTGCAGGAGACACGACGAGAGTGGAAGTCCGCCTAACAAGAAGGGACTTGAGCTATTGGAGCGTCGGCTACCAGAATTGGGTTATTCCCGACGGTGATATTGTCGTCGCAGTTGGGGCGAGTTCGAGAGATTTGCCGTTGAGCGGGACTTGGTAGGGTCATGAAGCATATGTTTGTTCTGGGTCTGCGTCGGCAAAGTGCGGTATCTGTCTAGTCGTTTGAGCAGCATAACAATTAATGGAACAGTACTTGAGCATTTTTACCTGGGACTTGGAGAGTTGCCCGTTTTAGCCAAGGTCTAAAATGCTTCCCAGGATGAACGTGCTTTGATTGAGGGGAATGATGCCCAGAAATATAATAGTTTTTCATCTCCAAATCTACACACTTTAGCACTTCGTTCTTGAATCTGGACGTGCTGTGACTGATGGGACTGCTGTCCAAAATCGCTTACCACTCTTCAGATATGACTGCATAATGCAGCGCTGTTCCCCAAAAAGCCTGAGCTCCTAGCTTACCCAGTTGACTTGCGAAGCATAGACGGGTTCAGATATATCTTCGTTCAGGGGACAAACGCTCTGAAACCACATGTGTGTGCATTACCAAACGGTTAGAGCCTTGCCTTTCTTCCTTGCTAGCTGAAAATGCCGTTGCGTAGCTCTAATTGAATCGACTCTGAATCACACGTGCGTTTTCCTTGCTGGACCCGCATACGTATCTGCAACGGGAGTGACACGAGCACCAAGTCATCCCAGAGCATACATCATGACAATGCTCGGTGCACATTGGTACGCCCCCCCCCCGTCTTTCTCATCGCCGAATCCACCCACCCACCTACCAACTCCCCCCCTCCCACTCCGGCCGCCGAACCGGCTCATCCCCATCCTCGTCCTCAGACCCAAACTCCATCCCATCCAACACCCCCTCCACCACCGCCCCAACCGCCCCGTTCCGACCCCTCGGCACCCAAACCCACTCCACCGTCCCCGCCCGCAGCACCTCCCCCTCCAGCAGCAGCGCCCGCTCGATCAGATCCCGGTCCGCCACCTCCCGGCCCCGGCGGGTCCGGAACCCGTTGCGCGCCCACTTCCAGCACCACTGCGTCATGCAGCCCAGGGCGTACTTCGAGTCGGTGTGGATCGTGACGTCCACGCGCGGGCGCGGACCGGGGCCCGGGCGCGGTTGCAGCGTTTTGAGCCGCGCTTGCTGCAGGGCGAGGATGATGGCGGATAGTTGGGCGCGTTGGGGCGTGGGTGGTGGGGATGGGGGGAGCTGGTGGGTTTGGGTGGTGCGGCGGCCGTATTTGTTGGTCATGGTTACGGCGGCGGCGGCGATGGGGCCGCGTTGGCTGGTGGGGCGGCAGCTGCCGCTGGCGTGGAGGGTCATGGTGTAGGGCATGGTGGGCGCGGAGGAGGGTGGTCTTGGAAGTCGATGGGTGAGGTTTGGGGGCGATGAGGGTACTCGGTATTGCTTGTGGGGTTGGCTGGTTCGGGGGAAGTGAGCTGCTGTTCTGAAAGGTGCGGAACGAATGGCACGGTTACTGGGAGTTTGGTTGAAGATGCGTAGCGAGCGTGATCTTCCTCTGCAGCGTCTTGATAAGCGAGATCGGTATCACGGCGGGCAGTCTTTGAAAACAGTCAGAATTGGAGTTCCTTCTTAAAAGGCAAGAACCGAGGAATGAGACATCTTGAAGTGGTATGAGAGCTTTTTGCTTCCAATCATGTCTCGTGGTGGGTAGAGTGGTCCAGAATAGGAACAGATTACGCCAATAACAAACATACCGTCCTTTAAGTTATTTAAAGACCCCAGAGATGTTCGTGTGATGGAATGTCAGTTTGTGTCCGTCTGGGATAGAAAAATAGAGCCCGTATTGTTTTCGGAGCCATGTCGACGCTATGAGTCTCCCGTCCCCAACCCCCAAGGTCTGATATGTGTTGAAGACAAAGTGGTCGTGCTAGGGACATTGCATGTTCGCCACGCCGGTATTGGCAATACGATGGTGTTTAATCCCCATCAAGGCCAATCGGCAGAACTATACGCAACACTTTGCACTCTCCAGTAGAGATGATCTCTGACATGTTTTTAATCTTCATCTTATGATTGGAAATTCCGCTGTCAGCTGTTGAGGCAGTAATGAGAGGTATCAATGCATACGGGTGCTTGTGCAGTAACACGAATAGATCTTCCGAGCACTAATTCCATCTGCCTGCTCATGATGAAGCAGATTATGGGGTTTCAAACTTTCCAAAGGGATGAGATGATTGTCTCCTGAGCGGCATCCAAGGACTGAGATGCTCTTTTGACCCATAACTCTCCTTACGCTGTAGAATCTGACCCGACCCGACTCTTGACTGCGCATTTGGCTTGACGCTGATGATTGGTGATGGCTGAGGTGTAGGTAAGGTTCAATCCAGTCTAATCACGTCAAATGAATTAAGCGGCGCCAAAAGCCAGAGACGGATAACCCCGCCAAGCCGCGCCCTCGAGTGTTATCTACGTGCTCGGCCATAGGCAAACTTGCACATGGTTCAGACCATGATTAGGGCTTAGGTCTACACCCATCTTTGTGATTTACTCCATTCACAATGAACCCACAGCTCAGGGCAGAGGAGACAATATCCATATATCTCCGAGGAGCAACAACACTTTTGATTAGTCGTTTGTGACTGATTCAGACATCGGCATCTATGTATGCCTATTTTTATCTCTAGTAGGGAAGCGATAAGTATACACCCCTATTTGATAGGTTGACGACTCCTCTCGAAATCGGGTTAGCGGCGAGTACAGCTTCAATGGGCACCAATCTACCTACCCCACTGGTAGCCTTGTACTCAAATTGTCCATCCCACTCTAACATAAAGAGTAAGAGCCTTGGATCTCCGAGAGATTCATCATGGATCCTCTCTCCGTCAGCACAACCGGCGCGAATCTCGTGACAACCTGCACAAAAGCAGCTACTCTATGCAACACACTCATCGGCAAGTACAAGAACGCACCGACAACATTGGCCTCTATCCGAAGCGAATGTACCACCGTCAAAGCTGGACTGTCACATGTGTACCTTTCTTGATCAATCGGGACACGGAATCATTTTCATCCCATCTGCACCCTCAAAGACCATTGGCGGAGACCTTGGATGTCGCTATAACAGGATGCACAGTGACGTTCTCACTTCTTGATTGTGAGTTGCAGAACATTTGAGACTGCTAGCAGGCTGGCATTGTTGTTCAAGCTGAAAGAAATTGGAAGACCTTGATGGCTGCGAATTGATGTGATATAGACGGCATGTCATCGCTTCGAGATCTTGTTCTCTGGCTGAGTCAGGAGCGTCTGGTCGTATTGGGAACCGTACAGCGCCACAGTCGCCGCGATATGCATTCGAGAAGGCGGTCGAGAGGAACTCGGTCTGGATAGACTTGTAGTACGTTCGATTCGGGATAGGCCGTGTTGAGTCTTTTCGTGTCCATCATGGACAGGGATCGCGGACAACCTTTTGTATCTGACGAGAGGTGCTTTGGTTTCACCTAGACCCGAATTAGGCTAGTACAAACAGGGAGGTCGGCCTGGGGCAGCTGCTTGTTAAAAGCAATAATAATTTATTAGGGGCTATCAAAGTTACTTCTACTTATGAAATAAGTCACTTATTTACCCCTGCAGCCCTATTTCAGCCCTATGATAAGTAGAAAAAAAACGACTTTTGAATAGCAACTCCGGACCTGCTATTCAACTCCATAAGCTACTTATTGCGTATTCTATTACACGTTCTAGAGTAGCCTTCTATACATATAACACACCATCTCTTGCCAAGCCTGATCCTACAGGCGTTATAGCTAGAAAAGAAGCCTAAACGCGCCTTGACAGACGCCTACATTAGCTATCTACTTACCACTACGGCGGAAGTGAAAGTTATAATAACTGCGGTGAGGTATAATCGTTGTAATGACTTTAAGAGATGTTTTATGTGCAATAGCTTTGACAATAATGGCTTTGAGAGATGTTTTATGTAGCCATAGGCCGAGGGTGGGTGATAAAAGTCTCTACCGACTTTTGGTGGGGGCTGCGGGAGAAAGTCGGCCACGGTACTACTATTACGAGGCTATTTAAGAAGAAGAAGAAATAGTTACTATCTATAAGTAGAAATGATTAGGGTGCTATCAAAGAACTAGTAGCTTATTGCATTTTTGACTAGAAGAAGTAGAAGTAACTTTGATAGCCCTTATTGTGGGTTAGACTCCGAAAGGGAGGTCGGGGAGTGCGTAAAATGGCTATTAGTTGAACCATTTCTTGGCATTACGAGTACTCTAGGTCCTGTCGCGCCAAGGCATCGACGTAAAACCAGCTCCTTATCACTGCGACTCAAATGCTGCTAAAGAATGAGGGATAAGACGGGTTTCGATGTACAAAGCTACGAAACTTCAGCTAAGCTGCTAAATGCTTGCAGTCTTGAGTCATGTCGCTCGAAAGGCAATCTTTTTTGGTTCTCTTTACATTATAGTGAATTAGTAGCTCAAACCCGAGTCTTTTGTTAGCAATGACTTACTAAATATTTTTGCGACTCCAAAGTCATTAGAATTTGTCCACTCTGACTTGTAGTTGTAGAATTGAAACTCTCGGTGTGCGCGAAATAAACTGCAGAGTGGCTAAATTTTGCGCCAGAGAATCAAGTACATTTTCTATGATAACTACACTATTAATGACCTGTCATCCCTCCTTCAAGACGTATTACGTCTAGAAGTCTCTTAGGCATACTTTCTACCAGCTCATTAATCCACTTTTGACTAATGTTATCCCAGCCTTCCTGTAGAATTTCCATAAGAGACTGCTCGTCCCAATGAGGATGCTTTCTCTATGTCGTGCCGACCTTCTGGGGGTTCTAGGAGGATCTTGACCCTTGCGTGTACCCATAATTATGATATTATGACTGTGTGGAATATGTGGAATACAATTGGGAGTAGATTTGGTAGAAATTTGGCGCGGGGAAAATTAGCCCCCTCTGCAGTTTATTTCGCGCACCCCGAGAAACTGTTGTTATTTCGAGAATTAAGAGACGTAGCGAAGACGCCATGTGTAGAAGGTTTGCCGAAGCAGTTTACGCGGCTTACTAGTTGTAGTACGGAGGTTGCCACCGAAAGTCCTGAACATACGCTAAAACCCTTGGC